TTCAAGTTTTGCTTATTAAGACTCAAACATAAATGTAATAAATAAGTTGAATAAAAACCCCCAATGTTAAAGTATGCAACCGTGTTTAAACGGAGAATTGTGAGGTGCGCGTATGCTCTTCCTCACTCCTAACCGAACCCCCGAACCCTGATCTTTGCGCAGACCCATTTTAGGTGACTTGTCCCACCTTATAATTTGGACGAGTGGCGACTCCCCTTTTCTTTTATATTTTTCACACTTGATTTTTCAATTTATTTTGAAAAAATCTTAAGTGGTCGTCAACAGATTGGCGACTCCACTGGGGACTGAATCCAGAATCTTTGGTTTTCATGTTTTGGATTCATGAGGGTCGAGCTAATACTTTAACTTTGGGGAATTTTTCAGCTTTTGATTTTTCTTTTGTTTGTTGAGTCTTTGTGGGTCTTTGTTACTCGTTGCATGTGCTTCTTGTTTGTTCTTTGTTTCTTGTTGTTTTGATGATTGCTTTATTATTTTGTTTTTGAGTAGTTGTTTGGTTACATCTTAGCATGCATCATATTTTGCTCACATGTTCATGCATCATATCATCTCACATGCACATCCATCGTTGATGTTATATGCTTATTCATCATGCATCATGCTCACATGCCTGTTTGTTTGTGTGTGAATATACTCACCTTTTACACTTGGCTATGGAGTACCTAGTAAGTCTCTTCTCTCTTGTGCGATTATTACACCTTGTTGCATGTTAAATGTTAGTTGCTTTGTGTTACTAACCTTTTGCATTTGGCATGGGAGTACTAGGTGAGTCCCTTCCTGCTGTGTAAATAGGTGTGTTTGTGGATGCTACATCTGTTGAGTGTTTTATATGTTTTATTTTATTGCTGTGGAATATATGTTGTTATTTTGTGGTTGTCATTATGCAAGTTATTGGAATGTCATGCCCCTTGCACACACTCACTCTCATTTTGCATTAAGTCCGTGTCTGAGGTGAACCCGACTTGTAGTCTAGAATCCTTATGAATCTGGCTTGGAAGAACAATTCTTCCCGCTTTGAGGAGTAAGATCGGTTCTCGTTAGGTTGTTTCCATTGGTTAATACGACACCTGATGATGTAATATCGTCCTGTGTATTAGCTTTTGGAAATATCTCCCATTAATTCTGAAAAGATAAATGGTTGAGAAGGCCTAATGCCCTTTAGGAAAGCATGCAGTGAACTTAAAGAGAAACCACCCATAGGACTTGTTAGCCTAGAAAACCACCAGTGAGGTTAGGATTCCCTGTGTCTAGGTACACAAGGGGGCATTTTACATCTTACCTTACTTTCTGCACTTGCAGGTATTCATTGAGTCAACCATGTCAAGTATCATGACATCCATCATGTTCATTCATTCCACACACTTTGCTTTTCACTTTTCTACTCAATACTGCATGACACCATTCACTTTGGCACTTTCACTTTCTATTTCATATGCCATAAAAAAAATTTGCATAATTGTTTTACATGTCGTCAACCTTTCACATGTCGTACGTTCATTACATTGCATTTTCCATTCCATGCATCACAAAATATGTTTTCATGTTCATTTCACGTGACATTCTCCATTTCATTTTTCATCTCATATTTCACAAAATTTCAAAAAAAAAAAAAGAAAAAAAGAAAGAAAAATGAAATTTCATTCATGTTCATTACATTACATCTTCCATCTCATATAAAAAATTCCACAAAAAAAAAATCTCATTCACATGCATTTCATACTGCATTTCCTATCTTAAGTTTTCATTTCAAGCATTACTACTTCCATCTCATACTTCAAAAAAAAAAAAAAATTGAAAAATTACATGGAACCAAAATTTCATCCATTTTCATTTTTCATCTCATTTTCCTTTTCAAGCATTACTATCTCTATCTTAGATTTCTCATATTTTCCATGTTTCAAAAAAAAAAAAAAAAGTTGCATAAAAAATGAAAATCTCATCTATGTTTAGTTCACATCACATTTCCCATCCCATTTTGCATTGCAGTCCATATTCAACCTTACATCACATCTTCCATCTCACATCAAATTGACATTCATCTCATGCTCATTTTCTCTTTTGAATAAAGTTGAATTTGGTCCTCATATTTTTTGGTTTTTCAATTAAGTCCTTCAAGTTATCACTTTCTACAAAAACAAAAAAATTTGTCCAAACTCTCTTTCAAAGAAAGTTTCACCCTGTTACATTTTCTACACGAAATTCACACTTGCATGTTTCAAACTTTTTGGCCTTACCTAATTAAATCCAAAGCATTTCATATTTTGTTAAAAAAAAAAAAAGAAGAATTTTTTTTTTCAAACTTTATGACATTTGCTCTTTTCACCAAGAAGGACTAAATTGAACTTTATCAAAATATGTAGACCAAATTTACATTGTACTACAAAATTTTCATCATCCTTGCATTTTCATTAATTCATACAAAAAAAACTTAGATCCAAATTTTGTTTCTTCAAGTATAAAAAAAAAAAATT